ACAGCAAAGAATGGAAGTTCAGGTGTTAATGAATGAGTTCAGAGTTATAAAGTCTATTACATATTTCCTAGAAACCTTGTGACCTAGAAAGGGTGTTTTTAATTACAAATTGATATCATATACAACTTTGGATAATACATTCAAAACCTTCAAAAATGGACATTCATTTGAAATATGAATTAATATAATTTATATTAACATAATAAAAGAAGCAACACACACATATACACAGACACACACAACACATACTGAAAGGCCAATAGATGTGAAAGAATGTGTCAGGTTTATTAAAGAAAATAACCAATAACTTCTTGGCTACAGAATTACACTGCTAAGCTATTTCAAAGTATACAACAAATTCTCGAAATATATAAATACTATGAATGATAGAAAAAGTTGAAAACCCTCCAATGTTTTTGTAATAAAAGAAACTATGACTTATAAGCTTAAATATATATGTATATATTGCCAAAATATACATGTTCATCAGTGAAAAACTATGCTTTTAAAATCTATATTATAAACAATAATTTTTGCTACCTTATAGGATAATAATGCACAATGCAGGTAGAAAGTATGAAAAATAGTTAAAAATAAAGAAATTTAATCAACATTTGGAGCAAGTGTAGTTTATAAATAAATAGAATCATGATTAAACAGTTATTTAATTCTCATACTCTAGAAAATAAGGCATAAGGGAAATATGCAATTTACCTATTCTCAGCTCTTGGTAAAAGAAACCTTGAGTTGTACAAAAAAGTGAAGGTAGAGAAACAGTATGACTCACAAGTTCAGGAAGATAAACTAGACATTTGTGTTAGCATGCATAAATCACCCAGATTATTAAACTCAAGAATTATCTTTGATACATTAATTTCCTTGTCCATCATATTCATTCCAAGCCTTGTGAATTCTATTCCAGCAATTCTATTGGATTTTATTTAAATGCTACTTCTATGTCTGTTATTATTTATGAGAGATGATTGCTTTCTTTCTGAAACACCTGAATATGTATTTTCCTACCTCTTCCCCAAACAAATAAACATGAAATTGCCTGAATAGAAGAGTTACATAGTAAGAGCAAGAAAATATTTGGGAAATATTCTTTCAAGACCTTAAACTTCTTCGTGTGTCTGAATTCAATGAACTAAAACCAGAACCTTCGTCTCTGACAATGGTTGCAGCATGTTTCCCTAAAAAAGCACTTTGCATCCAAGAGCCAAGTGAACATATGATTTCCTTGAATGTGTGCTATAACTTTTGTGATCTATTTCCTTTTTATGTTCTATTCCTTTCACTCAGTTGATCTGCTGAAATGTTTTATGTATTGTCTTTGTTCTTGATGGCTGCTTCCACTGAAATTTGGCATTTCAAATTATTGAGGAGTGTGATGGTGTGTTTAGATGCATGTTGGTAGTATTAAAAATATTAAAAGTGACATTATTTACAATGAATAAAATTCTAAAATATGAGATATATAAAACGCAGGATCAAGAAAAATATTTCACACCTGGGAAAATCTGAATTTGTAATAAGTATAGCAACAATTAAAAATAAACTCTTGCATCTAACCAATCAAATGAGTGACCAAAGGGAGCACTTTGGATGTGCCTAAGTCTTAAGTTTACTATGTTTGTAAATCACTGCCGTGTGAACAATTAAGATTTGTCTAAGGTAATTCTTTTGATTTACCATCCACAATATAAATCCTTTCCAAGGTCTTTACCAATTATTTTGGTATTTGATTCTGTAAGTTCTTTTTATGATTTAGAATTGCTAAATATGTATGTGGAAAGTGGCTTATTCATAGTCCATGCTCACAACTATGAATCTTATATTTCCCTGGCCATATAAAAACATCAGAGAACTTAAAAAAATCAGCTGAAAGGTCAGTAATCTTTGAATAAAATTGTTCTTTGTTAATGAACACTATTTTTTTTGCAGTACTGAAGATTGTAGTTTTGTTTTTAAATGAAGGGAAAGAGAAAAGAAGAAGAAATTTATGAAAGAAATCTAGAAGTTTCTGATTGAAGAATGGTAGGATTATCTACTTTAAAAAATCAGAATCCATGATCATAAGAAACGTAAATTATATTGTTTTTAGTTATGCTACTTGGATATAGACACATGAACCTATTTTACACATACTTCATGGAATATATTAGGAGAATGGAGGAGAACTTAATTTTACTCTACTTTCTTTATAAAGGAAATCTGTTTTTATTAGTCTTACTGCAGTCCAAGCAGATTTTAAGGATTCATTCTGCAAAGAAGAAGGTGAAAACATACTCTGGTGTCAGTTTAACCTCAAATGGAGGAAGCCAGAAAGATTTCAGAAATATTTCATTGTTAGTTGTTTCTTCCCCTCTTCTTCTAGAACAGAGATAATATCAAGTAGCATTTCCTGCACTGCACAGTTCACCTAAGACATGCTTCTAATATAAATGACAGTTGAAAGATTAGAAATGATTTGGAACTCAGTTTTACATTTCCCTTGTCTCTTGGCCTTTGGCACTGTGGAGAAATGACATTCAAAATTTTCTGCACTGCTTTCCCACAGCAGCTAGCAAAATCCTGTACTTACTTTGCCCTGACAATCTGTCAGAGCAGGATTAGTTTAAATTCCTCTTGCCTCTTTTACTACGCACAATTGAACACAAATGATCTTTATCCCCTGATGATAAGACTTTAAGAAAAGTTTCTTTCTTGACATATTAACATAAACACTGTACAGAAAACTTAAATAATAACATAATTATTGTTTATTTACAAGGGTCCTCTCCTCATATGTGTTACCTTCCAATATTTAATGCAAATGCTAGAATATTATGATAAATTCATACTATCTCCAACATAGGTTCCCATTCATGAGTAATCTGAAAGCAGGAAATATTACTGAAGAGAAATCTTATTGAAGAACCATGATGTATCCTAAATATATATTTATTAGAGCTACTTCTCAGATGTTATTAAAGGCTCCCAGTGGAAGAGAGAAACATAGATATCAAATATGCTAGGGTTTATTTCATGCCTATAATTTTTCAGATGAAAATGTATTCCACTGTTTCTTCAAATCAATCAATGTCTAAATTGGGAGTGTGCATCAGGAAGTTTCAAGCATCAAAGAATCTTGGCTAAAGGAAAATTATAATTGATTCTGAATCATGTGGGGGATGATTGACAGATTCAGAGTGGTGCTGGAAATCCTTATTTGGGCTTAAGATGGAGAGAGAAGATCCAGGAGACAGAGGAGGGAATACGGAAGGAATCTAGCTCTGAAGATGACCCTACACTGAGCTGAGGCAGCAAAAGTGAGGATTAAAGATCAGAGGTCCTAGAAGACCACTTCACCCTTTCCACCTGTCAGTCTCATTCTGTTGGTGACCTCAAGTTTTAGCACTAACTTAACAGTTGTTTGCAAATTATGTAATTTACTTTGGACAAACGAACCTCACTGTCTCCTCTGCTAAAAGTAATGTCATGACACTTTTTTTTAAAAAAAATTAAATTTGTAATTTCAAATATAACTTCATTGAGTAAAGTCTGATATAAGTGACACAGCTGAAGTTTAGATGCCTTTATTAAATATTCATTCTGAGACTTTAACATGGACTAGCAAGTGCTTTAATTTAGATTTTGAATATCCCTAAAAGTTTGTTCTCTAGCCTGTGGCATGATAGGGACATGGGGGAACATTTAAGAATTGGGCACTGGGAGGCCTTGGAGGAAGTTAGGTCAGGCGCATATTGGGACTCTGGCCCCTTGTCTTTGCTTCATGGCTACCTAGAGGTGAGCAGCTCCTTTGCCATGTGCTCCCAGCATGATAAACAGGAAGACTATTGCAAGCCCAGTAGCTATCAAGTCAGGTCACCATGGACTGAAAGCTCTGAAACTCTGAAAAAAATAAACCTTTCCTCCTTATAAATTAATTATCTGAGCTATAATGCCATAATAGCAGAAAGTTGACAGGAACACCATGTTCAACAAAATGTATAGTGTGTATTGAATGCATTTCACATTAACTACACATTTTTTTTAGTCTACGTATCTATTATTCACAGTTTTTGAGGGGGAAAAAGGCAAAAAATCAATTCTCTACCACAATGAAGGCACCCCATGATATTTTTAAATTACAAGGGTTGGAGAGTTATAAAATACATGGAAAATGTTGATAGTGATCTGTAGAATAGTTTCTGACTTAAAGAAACATCTATTCCCTTCACTACCTTCTTTATCTAGAGTTGTGGAGGAATGAAACTAACAGACATGGAGGCTTTTTAAAAAGCATCAATAAGGCCAAGTGTGGTGGCACATGCCTGAATCCCAGCCTGGGAGGCAGAGACACGAGGATCACAAGTTCAAAGCCAGCCTCAGCAACTCAGCAAGACCCTGTCTCTAAATAAGAAATATACAAAAATGTTAGGGATGTGTCTCAGTTGTTAAGTGCCCCCTGGATTTGATCTCCAGTACCAAATAAATAAATCAATAGACAAATTATCAAATATATAAATAATACCATAAAAACTACAATAAAATAATCTAGGAAAATTCAAAAGTTATACTATAATACATACATTAAATTAAGCTCACAGAATTAGTTTATTTGGTGTTAAATCAAGAAAATAGTGTTTAATTTATGAAATCATTCTATAGGAAATTATACCTACACAATATATGATAGAAATAAATAAGTATAAAAATAAACAGAGCAAGACCTAAAAGACACATTTCATACATAATTATTTATAGAAGGCACATGGTAAACACGTTGAAAAGAAATGGTTTTCTGTAGATTTCTACTTATTCTGATAAGAAATGTCAAAAATATAAAAACAATTATTTGCTATAATAAACAGGGCTAAAAGGTAGAAAAATAGACATAATGTCTGTTAGCTCCATGTATAAGAGTAAATTTCATTCTGCACTTAATGTCACTTATTGCAAAACATTTTAATAGGTTTGAAGAAATATAAAGCTACAAATAAATGTTCATCACTTACCTCTCTTAACGTTTCTGCTTGTACTCGTGGACTTATCTGAAGCACATGGGCAACGTCCTTCACATTTGACTGAGATATGCTTTCCTAAGACACATGCCTGATATTCTAGCTTGCACTGTATGAAAAAAGAAAAATACTTAAATACATCTAGTTTCAGCAGAAAGTCAGGAAATATTTAGAAAGAAAAAAGTAAGTTGTTATGCATTTAATTTGAAAACCTTTCTACATATATCTCCAATACTAAGGTGCACTTTTACACACTCATATAGTATTTATTATTTTATGAAAGAGGCAGAAATGCAGTTACCTTGGTCATTGTGGAGAACAATCACTGGGAAATATAGCAGTCTTAAAAGCTATGCCTAGTTTGTCAGCTCGGTTGAATGAACCAAATTCAGAACTTTAGAATCAAATGGACAGAGAGATGACTTAACTTAGAATATCATGAGTTCTCCTTTAAATATAATATTGGTGTTAGTTGCTTGTTTATATTTGAACTCTGTTATTGGATGCTAAGTATGGACATGGCAACTGGATAAATCAATGAATGCACATTTCTGAATGACAAAAGATGCCAAAATCAATTCATGAGTGAGTTACTTAGGAAATACTTCTGTCGTTACTTGTGACTTAACACTAAGATACCACAACAGTCAAATACACATACACACATGTACACATAGACACAGGGAATGTATACATAATTATGTCTAAAATTTAAAAAATGAGTACGTATTTATGACATGGTATATATATGTACATGAGTACATATTTATGACATGGTATGTATATGTACATGAGTACATATTTATGACATGGTATGTATATGTATACAGTTCATATATTTTTTGGTATGATGACTTTTTTAGTGACATTTTTATATTCACATACAAATGGTTTTGAACTGCATTTTCTATATGTCCCACATTCGATCAAATGTACAGTCATAATGTGATGTAAATAAGAATATATCTACAAGTCTCAGAGATTATTTGTCTTGTTTTACTAAAAAGAATAGAATACCATTCTTAAGTGCTTATATTACAATAAGATTAGAAACTATTAAGAAAGTGACAGTAGTATACTTACATTTTATTATACATATTATGGGAAAAGATAAGTGAAGATACAGGACAAAGAGCGTGACAGGACAAAGAGCGTGACTCCTAAATTTGGATCTCATGACTGCCATTTCCTAACTGTGGCACATAGGACTAGTTTCAAAAATACTCTCATCTCAATTGTCACATATGATAATTGGGATAATACCACTGAATCTCCAGTGTTCTAAGAATCAGACAGCTAATTCTTCCCAGTGCATTAGCTATCCTGAACCAGAATCTCAGCCAATGTTAATAAAAACTGACTGGAATTAAAATAAAATAATAAAAATATTATGGCACATGAGTCTGTTTATATATTAATTTAGTTTTGATTTGATGTGGTTTGATTTTCTCTGTAAACATTATTCTTCGAAGAATTTTAAGCCTGAGTATTTTTAATTCCTTCTTAAGAGAATATTTTTTTAACTTCACATTTGACAGGATTTAAAAAATCCTAAACCTACTCCATATTTTAAGGGGCAATAATTGTCTTCCTACGCTAAAAGAAATAGATCTTCCTAATTCTGAAGTAATATGATTTCTTTAGTGGCACTCTCATAATTTACTCAGAGCAAATTATTTTAAAATTAAATAAAGTAGACTTTCTGGCTCCAATAGGCAAATGCCCCCAGGACTAATTTAATTTAGATTCAGCTGATATCAAGAAGTACCGAATGCTCTAAACAAGTAATCAGATTACTCACATTCTACAACATTTTATTTATTTTTTATCAAATAACTCTTCAGTGGACAAGCAAAATTCTTGAATACCCCTGCAACAAATGATTAAAAATTAAGCCGTTTGAAGATGTTTTTAGCAGAATATTGGGTCTTTAAGATGAACAATCCTTTCAAAAGTAATTCAGTGTTTCAAGAACTGAAAAAATGATTTCCTCATGTAAAAGCATGACAGACTTTAAGGGCAATTAAAAATGCCCAACACCTAATTAAAAATAGAAATAAATATTTAAGCAATTATGAGCGCTTAATGAAAGCCAAATGACTTGCTTGAAACTTTGAGACTTTTCAGACTTAATATTCTTTACTGTAACTTCTCTTATTATTTCAGCACCCTGGACATGGTCATATGAAAATTTGGACTTGTGACTTAATTTAAGGAAAATTCAAAGGCGATTTTGACTGGTTTATGAGCAGACAAAAGTAAAAGTCAATATTAATTCCAGCTTATGATTTATTTTTTTAGTACTGGGAATTGAAGCAAGGGGTGTTCTGAGCTACAACCCAGCCCTTTTTCCTTCCTGCCTTTCTAACTTACTTTCATTTTTTTATTTTTTAAATTTTTAACAGGGTCTCAATAAATTCTTGATGCTGGCCTTAAACTTGTGATCCTTCTGCCTCAACCTCCAAATTTGTGGGAATTTCAGGCATGCATGTTTGTGCTGGGTGCTAATATTAGATTTTCCCACTTGAAATGACAGATCCCTTTGAAGATGCTCTATGTCAGATTTATTTTGTTTTCACATAAAAAAATGAGAAAGTGTAATATTTAAACACAAAAATATAAAATTTGGTTAAGTATAAAGAAGAATCATTTTCTGATTGAGGGTTGATAATTCAATTTTTAGATATTCTTAGCACTAAAAATGTAATTTATAAGAAGAGTATAATATTTATTAAAATTAACTAAATTTTCTTTATAAAGTTTCACTTTTCAGCAAACTTTCTTTGGCATAATTACCACTAAATGTTTCAATGTTGTCCTTAAGATTGTGGGATGTGATAAAATCATAGCTTCACAGAATGTCACTTTACCAATGAAACAATTTTTTTTCATTAGAATGAGTCTATTGAACAACTTTTTCTCTATGCACATAGGTAAAGAGCAAAAAAAAAATCAGAGATTATACCCTGTTTATATAATCATATGAATTTAGCTTCCTGTTATTAAAAAAAACACTTTGTTTTATTTACTTATGAATCAATTTTGGAAACAAAAATTATTTATGAAGACTTTTACTTAAAAGATATTAGGATATTAAAATTCTTTTTTAAAAGATGCTAACTTTAAATATTTTTTAGCCATATCCACTGACTACATTTCTAATTTATAATGTTCAATTTACTTAATTATCACAAAGCTGAAATATTTATCAAGGTATAAGTGAGCTAAAATATCACATAAAGGGCATGCTCATTAGTCTATAATTACCAAAAAATGCAAATAATGTAGAGAAAGGCATGATTAATGCATCTCTGATTAAGACCCTAAGTACTCAGAGCACTCAAGTTATGCATTATTGTGGAAAATAAGGCTGCAAAATGATTTTGACACAATTCACAAAAAGTTACTTTATAGTCATTTGTTTAATAGCAGCATCAAACAGAAGAAAATATGAGATTACAATAGGAGAAATATGCAGCATACAGAAAAGATTCTAACTCTCAGGCATATTAGACACTGGGAAAGGCTGCTGTTACCATTTTCCAAGATCACCATTGCCCTGGCAGACAGTTAAGACCTGAAGTCCTCAGCTGGGGATAAGTCCTCTCTCCCTGACTAGGAATATCTGGAGATACTTGGTTGCTACAACTATGGTCAGAGGTAGGAAGGTTACTGCTGGCATCTATTAAGGAGGCCTGACAGGCTGCTACACATTCTGCAACTCACTGGATAGTCCCCCATCCTCCCACAATACACACACACTGCCAGAACAAAGGATTATCTGGCCTCAAATATTGATAATGCAAGGATTGGAGTGCCCAAATAAGACACTGTTTTACTTCAAGACAATGAAAAGATTAACTAAACTCTCAACAACTTGTTCATATGTCTCTTAGAAAAATTTTGTTTGGTATTCACCAAGGTAATCCATACAAAATAAAAACAATGGTATAAACAATCTATCATTTACAGGTACCTAATTATTCAGAGAGTACAAATCAGCTCAAACAACAAACTACACAGTTAAGCGCCACCTGTTTTCATCAAGGCATTACTATAAGTCAAACACCATGCTGAGCAGTTTGATGCATTACTTCCTGATAATTCAAATAAAATAAGCATATTTTTTTCCAATAGAACTACAAGTTTGGAAAGCTTATGCAACTCATCAAATGTATATATTGCTACAAGGGATTCAAGCACTATTTCATAGTTCTTCTGATGTAAAAGGATTGTATAATTATTAGTAGGTAAGGAATAGTAACAATATTAATTTCCTTATTGTACCAATAAAAACTTTTAGCCAAACGAGAAAGCAAATTGAGAAATAAGGAAGGTCATGTATCATATTTACGTTTTAATCATTCTTGGACTAATATTATCTCTTCAGTGTCCTCACGTAGCAATATTGTAGACATGATCTGAACTCCTGTGAAAGAATTCATCACACTTTGTTACAGCTTTCCTTTTCCCTGCAAAGCTCCTCCACTTGTGTTCTTGGGATATCCATGCTGGTGTTCCCCATGCAAAGTCAACCAGAGGAGGAAAGGAGGACTTGATTCAGTCTTCAAATCACTCACTCAACCAAAATATACTATTTACACACATGTATTAGAATTATAAAACATAAACACAAGCAGGGAGTTCAATGTAGCAACAATAACATTAAAAATACCCTGCTGGGAAGTGCGAATCAGGCGGTATAGCGATACCAGACTTAAAACTATATTACAGAGCAATAGTAACAAAAACAGCATGGTACTGGTACCAAAACAGGAGGGTGGACCAATGGTACAGAATAGAGGACACAGAGACTAAACCACAAAGCTACAACTATCTTATATTTGATAAAGGAGCTAAAAGCATGCAATGGAGGGAGGATAGCATCTTCAACAAATGGTGCTGGGAAAACTGGAAATCCATGTGCAACAAAATGAAACTGAATCCCCTCCTCTCGCCATGCACAAAAGTTAACTCAAAATGGATCAAGGACCTAGATATCAAATCAGAGACTCTGCGTCTGATAGAAGAAAAAGTTGGCGCCGATCTACATATTGTAGGGTCGGGCTCCAAATTCCTTAATAGGACACCCATAGCACAAAAGTTGAT